CCTGCCACTGCAAGTTTAGGGTTCTTTATGTTTTATTTTTTTGGTCCAAAATACTTGGGCCTCAAGACTTGGGCCATAATTTGGCTGGTCAGGAGGCCCTATTAGGTTTTTGGTTATTAGGCCTCTTGACCAATACCGAAACCGAAAACCCATTGGTTTTCCATTAAAACCAATCTCAAACTCACCAAAACCAATTCTTTCAAATCAAAATCACGTTTTTTGTTCAGTTTTTGGTCAACCATTCAGTTAACCAACCGAATGCTCACCCCTACTCCTTAAAAAGGATTTTTTGCAAAAAAATTGAAGAAAATTGAAGTTTCATTCCTCTCATTCCTCCACAGTATTGCAAGCAACAATTGGCTAATTAAGGAGTCCATGTGGTTTAAAAATGTGTATTAAATCTTAAAATTATAAAAGAATACTTTTAATTAAATGTTTTTAAGATTTCATCTTTAATATTAATAAATTTGTTCTTGTAACCCAAATGCTTTTGGAATTTTACTTTTAATAGCGACGGAACTACTAAGGAGAAGGGTTAGGCACAAGTCCTACCCTTCCCTCCAAAAACAATGAAAAAAAAAGAAGGGAAGGCCAAGAGCGAATGCCCTATCTAGGCAATTGGCATAAATAGCTAATTATGCCACCAAGTTTTTTTAATTTGATAATTAAAGACACAAACTTTAGTTGCTCTTAGTTAAGCCTCTCAATTCTTACTTTTCCATGTCCATTGGTGGATTTCAATTTCGATGACGTATAAATTATTTATTAAGAAAACTTCATTAATTATTCTATACTTAGTATAACGAATAATTTTAAAATATTAAGAAGTTCTTGTGGTCTAGTGGCCACCTATATTGTTGTAAAGGGTATTCTCATTTTAGTTGAGGTGTAAAATTTGAATTTTACTCTCGTGTTTAAAATTTTTTTAAAAAATATTAAAAATTAAATTTCTAAAAAATACTTTTTCTCTTTGTTTCCCTTAGTTTATCTCCGTTTTCCTCCCATCATATCTATTAGAAAACAAATTTTAATCAATTGAAAATTTTGTCTGTTATACGAAAAATTCTATCAATTATACCTATAACCGACAAACATAATCGATAGTAAAAATTATCAAATAAATATGTGTTGAAAATAAATATAATCGGTAGAAATGTTTTTTGTCAATTATGGTAACTTTAACCGATAAAATTTCGTTGATTAAATTGGGTGTCCAGCAAAGATATTTAATAATTTAATGTAGTATAATTGACGGCCATAGGTTGTATAATCAATAGACATGGTTGTTGATTATACTAGTATCAAATTTTAAAAAAAAAATTCAAAAAAATAATTCTATAGTTATTAATTAAATTATAAACAGTAATCAAAATATATGTAAGACAATCATGTGCTGCAACAATATATATGTATATATAGATAAATCTACAAAATGTATTGAAAATTTATAATATTTTACAAATATTATGAGAATAACGAAAAAAAGAAGAAAAGTGACAAATAATTTACCTATAATGAGATAGTTTGAGTATAAAAATATATAAAAAAATAAATAAATATACACATTGTTAATATAGTTATACATTTTAAGATTTTATAAAAATAGAAAGAAATTGAACACATAAATAAAAACACAGTATTAGAAATTACCATATAATATGATTTCAACCTTAATAACCTAGAAAAGAAAAAAAAAATGTTATTAGATCAAATAAAAATAATTGGATAATATAGAAACAAAAATAAATAAATAAATAAATCGAAACTTAGAAAGATAGAAGGAATTAAAGGGAATAGGTGAAGTAATGTAAAAAACAATGAAAGAAGATGAAATGAGGTACCTAGAAAGGGAAAAAACCAAGAATTAAAATGGTTGAGTTTAGGGAGAAGGGAGGATGAAGAAAGTTAAAAAGAGAAAACACAATGAAAGATTTAGAAAGGTAGAAGAAAAGAGAGAAGATGAAGCAAGGTAGAAGAGAAAAATGGGGTTCGCACATCTATATGAAAGGGAAGGATGACATGAAACTTAGGAGAAGATGAGATACAAAAATGTTTAAAGGTTCTGTTTCTAACTCTATA